ATGCTCTTGTATTAGAAGCACAACCACACTACAGAAAACTGAAAACAGAAAGGAACAACAAGTTGCCCAACCCCATACTTCTGTCCATTGCTGCCACATCTCGGCATATTTTCCTCCCACCTTGTTTCCTCTCCTAAAGCCCAGACTGCACACCTCTGGCTGCCCTGGACAAAGTTAAATCACTGAGTAAATGCATTCCCGCCCCTGCTCATCCTAGGGCGGGAGGCATAGGGCTGCCCAGCGGTCCAGGCAGAGGATCTCCCGCTGTGAGATGTCTGCCTGCTTTCCTCCATCCTCAGGGGCTGTGACAGGGCACACGTCACTCCCACCCAGCAGGCACCCAGCCTTCCAGGATTCATCTGCTAGGAAAACATCTAGCACACAGTGATGTTTTAACAGACAGGAACTTAAATTTTACTTGTAGGCATTTCCTTTCATAACCCACTTTCAAAATTTAACATTGTGGGAGCATCTCACGTGGCGATCACAGCCCTTGCAGCCATCCTTTTACATGGCCACGTAATATTCCCCAGGGAGTGGAAGCATCTACATGCAGGGCCTAGTGCTTAGATGGCTGAGCCAAAAAAAGCAGGCAGATGCCCTCCCTGCCCTCAGGGCTGCCCCATCCCTAAGCCACTGACCAGTCATGGAGCTTTCATTCCCTCGAATGTGCCATCTCTATAAGGAACACCGAGGTAGCATCGTCTGAGGACAGTGCTTTAAGCCAGAGAAAGGGACTAAATCCCAGTTTTAGTAGCAGACTGGGAGGTGGGTGGCTGGACTGGCCTTGGGGGATGTGCTGGCTGTCACTCGGGACTCCTGCTGAGTGAGTTCATCTCTCACAGTGAGTCCACAGGTGGGGAAAGTGACCCCTGAGGGCTCGCAGGTAGAAACAGGGAGGCACTGAGAGGAGCCACAGCTCCACACCAGCCACACTGGCCTGCGGCCCTTGCCCCAGAGGAGGTGGTGACAGTGATGATGGTGGTGGTGATAATCACTAGTCCCCGCTGGGGACTAGGCCATGAGCTTTACATGGGTTAATTTTTAAGTCACCTTGTTTACTGAAATATATATACGTATAGAAACGTGCACAACCCACGTGTGTACACATGTGTACAGGCGGATGGAATTTCCCAGTGGACACACCTGCGTCCAGCCACCCATACTCAGGAAATAGATCCCTTCTCCCAGAACCCCCTCAGACCCCTCCCAATACCCCCTAGCTCCCCGCCCCGAGGCAACCACTGTGTTGACCTGTAACTCCACAGATTAGTTGTGGCTGTTTCTGAACTTTATAAAAACGGACTCCTAGCACACGTGTGTATGGTATGACGTAGTCCTCAGCGGGAATAACAGCGGCCGGCTCTCATGTGGCCCTTACTGCCTGTCAGGTTCTTTT